ACGCTCCATGCGAGAGCGTGAGAGCACACGTTCGGAATTTCCCAAACTCCCAAGAAAAGCCCCAAACGGAATGAAGTGCAGAAAATCATGGAAACACAAAACGAAAATATCTGCTGACAACACGCCCCGTTATCACCAGCCTTTGTTTCCGAAAAAGGGGAAGGACCCACACGATGAGGCCTTTTCAGCGACACACGTGTCTCCGGTCCCCGAGCCGTTCTGAGCTGGCGGTTGCTAGGAGACGGGATTGTTAGGGAAGTGTAATGCCCAACACGTGCTTTCACAGGTGGGCCTGGCGCCCCGTCCTGTCTGACCACGTCCGCACCGTGGTGGTCGCTCCCTCTGCGCGACACCGAAGCTTGCGCCCTTTGCGGTCGCCCAAAGGAGGGCGTGTTCGTGGCACACACCCGTCCGGGGCCTGGCACCCGGCGCCGCCTGGCCCCTCTGCGGTCAGATGGCCTGGGCGGGTTCCCGCAGCTGCTTGTCCTCCCCTCGAGGTCACTGCCAGCACGGCTTCCACGTGGCGCCCCTGTACTTGGAGTCAATTTCAGGAATCAATTGTTTGGTGTGTTTCTTATTGCCCAGTGGGGCTTCATCGCGTGGACGCAGCCTGGCTCATCTCTTCCCCATCGGAGCGGCCTGGTCTGTTTCCACGTGCTGGTGCCTTCTGGGTGGGTTTCCGTGGACATTCCCAGGCCGGGGTTGAGGCACAGGCTCCCGGCGCATCCGGGGAAATTCTGAGGATTGCGGCCGCCCTGTCCGCCTGCGTCCGACTTCACGGAGAAGCTGCCAGGGCATGTGAGCACCTCTCTGGAGGCCACGTCGGCCCATTTGCTTTTGCTGCTTCGTGCACGGCTCACCTTGCCTGGTGTGACCTGAGCCTTTGGGTTTTTCCTGGTTGGCTTGTACGAATGTTGATATGGAATAGACACCCATCTCTGTCATCTGTGTCACCCGTACTGGGACCGGCTGCGTCACTTGTCTCCTGTCTTGGTCTACCAGCCAGTTCACTGAGGGAGAGAGCAGCTCCCTGTGCCCATCAACTCGCACAGCAGCCTCACTAGTCTGAGACGTCAGCCGGCCTGTGGGGGGCTGGGAGTGAAGCCCGGTGTTTTTAAAATATATAAATCTTACTGATTTCAGAGAGGAAGGGAGAGGGAGAGAGAGAGAAGCATCACTGATGAGAGAGTGTCATTGATTGGCTGCCTCCTGCACGCCCCCCACTGGGGATGGAGCCTACAACCTGGGCATGTGCCCTGACCGGGACTCGAACCCTGACCTCCTGGCTCATAGGTCGCCGCTCAATCCCTGAGCCCCGTGGGCCGGGCATGAAGCCCGGTGTTGCCAGGGGTGACCCCGTCGGCCTGTGGGAGAACGTGGCGGCTCTGCACCTGCTGAGGCCCCGCCACTGAGCTGCTCAGAGGTCGTCCAGGTCACGGGGAGGGGGCTCACTCGCACGCCTGATCCCCGTGCCCCTCGCACACTCAGCCGACCTCCCTCCTTAGGAACGGGGTCCTGAGGCCGGTCTCCTTCTCTTTCAGAAACCACGCCCTCCTCACAGCCTCAGGCGCCTGTCGTGGGCAGAGTGACCCATCACAGCATCGAGCTGCACTGGGACCCGGCGAGGACGGCAAAGCGCCAGGGGCCTCAGGGGCAGTGGACCCAGTTCTCCATCGAAGAGGAGGACCCCCGGACGCACACCTACGGGGCCATTTACATGTGGGTGCTCGCCGCGCCCGCCGCCTCCTGGCTCCCCTGCTCGGCCGCGGGGCCTGCGGTCTCTGAGGCCCCTGAGGGCGGAGGTTAAGGAGAGGGAGGGTCGGCAGCAGCATCTGCACTCGTGCTTCTAGGCATTGTGGTTCTTTCGAAACAGCAGTGACCCTGAAGGCACGCCTCCGGAGCCCCTGGGGGCTTCCTGGGCTCGGAGCGACTCGACTGGTGTATTTACACCCCGACGTGTAGAGCCAGGATCGAAGGAGGGCTGGTGGCATTAGCGGGGTGCCCACCAGGCGGGTCTGTCCGCAGATGGCGGCTGGTCCCCCACGGTAAGGACTTGGATGGGGAAAGAGAGAGACACCATCTCTTCTCCCCAGGACCCTCGTGCGGGTCTCATGTACATCCTCGCTGCTGGGCGGCCAGGGGGCCGGGGGACCAGGGGGCCGGCCGCCCTGGAGGGACCAGCCCGACCTGTGTCTGTGTCCTTGCGTCTCCCCCGACTGTCCGGGGGGGCGCACCTGGGTGCTGCCCTGGTGCCCCGGGGCGGCGTCGGGCCTCAGAGCCCAGCGCCCAGAGCCCTTGGGAAGCGCTGGCCTTCCCTGGCAGACCCGGCAGCACAGGCCCGGCCACTAGGTGGCAGCACGAGACCGTGCGGATCTGCTCAGGGGCGAGGGCGCGGTGCCCTTCAGACCAGCCCTGCCCGCTTTGCGAAGCGCTGGCTGGACACTTGGCCTTGGGCCGGTGGGTTCAAGAGCCTCCTCGACTTGCTGGTTTCCGCTCAGGTCTTGACCCCGAGTGCCGTCCTGGACCAGCCTCTCCTCGCACAGCCAGCGGTCGAGCTCGATCGAGCTCCGTGGGCTCTCCCTTCGCAACTCCCTCTGGGCCCCCCCTTGGCCCTGCCATCTCCCCCTGTGGCTGCAGGCTCCCTGCTCGGGCTGCTCCGGGCTGTACTCCCAGGGCCGCACCTGCCCAGCACGCTGGCGAGTTGACTGAGGTGGCCTTGTCCCTCTCTCCTTGCCTTTTATCCCTTTATCCGGCCTTGTGACCTGAATTTCCTTTTCTTTTTAAAATATGTTTATTGATGTCAGGAAGGGACAGGGAGAGAGATAGAAACATCAGTGAGGAGAGAGAATCATGGATCGGCTGCCTCCTGCACGCCCCCCCGCACTGGGGATCCAGCACACATGCCCCGACTGGAATTCAACCGTGACCTCCTGGTTCATAGGCTGGCACTCAACCACTGAGCCACACCGGCCGGGCCTACATTTTCCTTTCCATCTTCCTGTTGCCGGGTTGTCTGCAATGGGTCTCCAAGGCCGAAGGACGAAGGTGCAGCTCCTTACACTGACACCCGGCGCCCTTTGCAGTTCCCCACAACCTGCCCCTCATTCTGGGAACAACCTCCTGGCCCGTGGCCGCGCCTCAGCTTTCCACACGTGTGCTCAGCTGCTCCCCTGTTTGGACAAATTCCTCCTCCCCCGCTCCCCCATCCTCTGCTCTGCCCAAGTCGCATCGACCCCCACTATGTGCCTCTGACTCCGGTGATTCTGCTGCCCACCGCCTGCACTCCGCTCATTCCCTCTGAGTGTGTGAGCGGACCCCCCGGTGCCGGACACTGTCTGGACGCTGGGGCGCAGCACTGGACAGACACACTCCCCCCAGGACCCGCTTGGAGAGCACAGCACGCTGCTGGACTGGCTGGTCTTGTGTTTCCAACGTGAACTTGGCTCAGGGAGGACAGATGTCACGGGTGAACGTGATCGTTTCTGCAGCGTCTGACATTGCGTGTGGCGCCGTGTCAGCCCTGGGCTGGCGCCGTGGCCTAGAGGCAGCTGCTGGGAGTGTGGGGGCCACGGGGGCTTGTCCCTGGTGCTCCAGGTCCTGCAGGCCAGTGTGGGAGGTGGTCAGCGGCCAGGGCCAGACCTGCCGGAACAGGCAGCATTCAGACTGCCTCCTCCCCCCCCCCGGC